TGAACGGATACAGAGCGCCCGAGGAGGAGTTGGAGAGGTGTTGATGTTTAAGGGCAGCCTGACAATCAAGAGATTTGACAGCCTATTCGTTGTGATTTTGCGCACCTGCAGAGACCTTCTGCTGTGCAAAGTCCCATTTACTAAACCCTGGCACATGTTTGTTCATGGGGAGCATGTCACATCTAATTGAGACATTGTAGATACACAGTCTATGGTCCAATGTCTACAAGATGCTTTTAAGTGTGGAGCAAACCATTAATCATCTAAATGTCTCAAAGATCTACAGTAGTAGCGCACACAAGAGTGGGCTTTTAATACACTTACCCTAACAGCTCAACAGGGACTTTTTTTTTTTTTGCTCAATGCATTTCTCTATGTTCCTAATGTGATTAGAAGCAACTCTGACTACTTTTATGACCTGCACTTAAAACCCTAATGAATGCTCTGAGAGTAGGAGTCACACAAAAAAAAAGAAAAGCGAACACTTGAGACAATTGCTGAGCTGCCTCCTCAGGGAATGACTTGAGCAGTGAAGTCAAGAGATGGATTGTGCTGTGTTGGGATCAATGTGGGCAGGAGATTGCAGAGTCATGTGCACGAGGGAATATCTCACTCAGAAAAATGCTACCGACTCCTACTTTTTTTTCCTTCCCTTGCAAAATGTCGGGAGAACATTTTAGTCTTTTGTTTGTTTTTTTCTACACGCCGTTTCAGAGGCGAGTCACAGAAGGGTTCATAGGCTGGGAATAGCTTTGAAATTGAGGCCAAAACGGAGGCTAGTTGGGGAGGCCTGGTCTCAGTGTTGGTACATGTATACATGTGAATTATTTACTTGTCGTCCACCAGGAAATGAGGAACGATAACAAGCTTGGGAAAGAAATACAGAAAAACAAACAGATGGTATCACGTCACCTCCTTCATTTTGTTTTTCTCCTTTTTCTTCTTTTCTTTTGTCTCCTCCGAGGGTCAAATTAAAAGACGAACATAATTCGAAAGTAAATAATTCCAGGCAATTATGCCTGACTCAGACCTGTTAGTTTTTACAGCAGAGATGGTTGATTTGCTCATTTTAACACACGTATAAAAATGTGTGTTAAAATGAGTGTGTTTTTTTTAAAGGAGGCTTTTCTTATGTCTCTCTTTCTGTGAATTGTTGTTTCACCTGTTCAGAGTCTTCCTGTCTGTTTTCACAGCACTGTGCGCAGTCCTCTGAAAATTTAAGTACAGCCCAAGATTCAGGCCTTTCCTTAAGTACCTTAGGCAGCAAAAAGCTGAAGTAACTGCTTTCTGAATGACTTTATCAGTGTGTTACATCATTGTGTAAGAAATTTGGCCCACTGTAATAAGTATATGTGGAACCATGATAAATAATATCTCAGTTGCTAAAATTTATAAAACTATACTAGACTCTAGTTTACATACAAGTAGGCATGAACCCTTTTGTGTTTATCTGACAGGGATCATTAAATACCCCAGTAGACCATAACAAAATAATATGGCCGTTGCCCAGACACTTCACTCCTCATGATTCCTCCCACACTTTCCACTCTCATCTCAGGTGGAAGGGGTTAAGGAGGAAGAGAACAGGTTGCAAGGAAACTGAGGAGAGACCGAGGCTGTATAGCTTAAGAAATGGGAAGATTAAAGGTGTAGGGGAATATTATTACTTTGTAAGAAATTGCATCAAGTCTTGTTGCTGCAGAGGGAGCACTAAAAGGTCTGATCATGTACGTTGCCTATAGTTGCTTTGTCATTTACTTTATATGCCCCCTGGTCACCACATCCTTTCAAGGTTTGAAGCGCCAGCCTTGTGATTGGCAGAGTACCTGCTCTACCTTCTGAGCTAAAGCTGCCCACCCTTTGACACCGGAACAAAGACGAGTAATCAGTACAGGTTCACTGTGTGTAATACAGGCCCTAGTTGTTGCGTCTCACAATGCGACACAGATTGAGTCCAAAATTGTTTGAGGGACATTTTGTTTTGCTGTGGTAACACACTCAGCGTACAACAACTGCTGCTGTTTAACTTAAGCAGTCCTTGTGATGATCTCCTGACCCAATTTTTAACTCTTTTCTCCTTCTACCCCCCTCTCATCCTTTCAATCCCATCAGCTTCACTATTGCTCAGTCACCTGTGACCAGGCCTGGGCAGTGACCTTTGACCTCAGAAAGCCATGATTAGCGCTGAGAATTAGAGCAGCAGAAGCAGTGGTGGAGAAGGGAGGGAACTAGGCAGAGATGGGATGCCTCTGAACTGAGAATTTCAGCTCAACCAGGCTGAACCCTGCCCTGGAGCAGACAGGTCGCCACACCCAATATTTCTAGACAGCTGTGTATGAAAGGGCGCTGGTCATTAGCGCCAGCGGTTGGGGGTTGATTTATTTTTTTCCACCAGGATGTGGGGATCGTAGAGGAGAGACAAATCAGTGGAGGTTGGTAGGCATTTTAATTAGCCTGAATCTCCCCAATGAGGGGGATAGAGCGGAGAGGAGATGGCATCTATGGGAACCCGGCGCAACAAGCCAGGAAACAAAAGAGAGAGAATCAGGGAGGCGTTGTGAGCAGAGGGGCTGTTGCGGTCAAATACCCTGGGGCCAGAGTCACTGTGCCAGATCTAAATATGCACCACCAAATAAAACATGCTCTCCTGGGAGCATGGGATGCAGCAAATAAACATCCAAACATGCACACACACATACCAAATGCCTCCAGGCCATGTTATCTTGTAAATTTTTGGCAATCATTAAATAAAACTTGGAATTTGGGGGAGGGATTCACTTAAGAAGTCATCCTGTAATGAGGAGACGGCATGTTTCCATGGTGGGATAAATTCTTTCACATTTATGTCAGTAAATCTCAATGGACTTTAATCGGGAGTGAGTAGAAAGTCTGTTACAAGCTGTCAGTGAAGCTGGCCCAGGATTTCTTTACTTTCCACTTCCACCTCCTGCATGTTCACCATCTGCTCCACCTCCACGGTTATTCTCCACATCTTGTCTGATTCCTGTAACCCAACCTCCCCAACTCACTAAGCATCAACTGCTGGTCAGCTAAGGATTCTGCAAACATACATGCACGGTAGGAGTAGCTAGTTATATCTTGTAGCAAATTCAGATAAAAATGGATGGAGGCAGTAGAAGTAATGGTGCAACTGGGGTCATGTATCCAGTCATACTTTCCTTGTCTGATGGACCATTTCCCTCTTGTTGTGCTTAGAAAAAGAGAGGCAGGTTTAAAACTTGGCAGTAGCGGGAAAAAACAGAGTAGCTGTTACCAAAAGATTCACTGAACCAAATAATCACGTGATCTGCTGTGTTTAAACATTAAAAGATTTAACAGACATATACTGGGAATAAATCTGATTCACCGTTTAGCTATTTTTGCAGGATCGCTGTACAAAAGAGAGAGAGAAAAAAAGCGAAATTTTAATTGCAGGTTGTGGACTGAGTGGTAATGGACAGATGGGTTTTTTTTTCCCTTATCGGATTCAGTGTGAAAACAGATTAGCTCGTGGAAATGTCATCGTCAGTGTTACAAAGTTGGAGTTTTATGATAGATTATGACATAATAAAAGCATAAAGGAAAACCAAACACAGCGACCTAAATTAAAAGTCAGTAAAGGAGTGTGTGTACGTGTTAGCACCTTCTTATTTTGCCCCTGGAAGAACGAAGCGTTATCAAAGTTTCATCTTGCTGCTCATGTGACGGTGCCAAGTTCTGCCCTTAACTGGCCCACCCAGAATGCCCGCTAATGGTCGTGCTTAATCAAAAACTCTGGCCACACACACACACACAGAGTCCACGCTGACAGCTTTTATTTTGCTCATTTTGGTGTAACTAGTTTTAATGTCGCTGCTTCTTTGGTAGACATGAACTTGGAGCATGTTTGACTGAACAAACCCCGTTCAAGGTCCACTCACTTGCTTATTTTAGAGTTTTAAAGCGTTTGACATGTTTTTGCTCATTTGTCATGTAGATGAATGGTGACATGCAGGCTCAGCGCCTGTTTTTTTTACCCCAACTGCTTTCAGTTAAAAGAGTGCATGATGGCTAAAAGAAATGAAGTTTAGAAATTTTTGCTTTTAATTTTTGGAAATAACATTTTGTCTAACCTGTACAATTACACGTAGACTTTAATTTAGGCATCTATACTGATACTATACTGTAGATCTATACTGTGAGCTATAGTGTAGGTTTAGTTTGAACTCCATCCTCATTAGGAAGCCCAAACAACATTTATATTAAACCTGTCATCCAAAAAAAAAGTCAGCAGTGTTAAAATAATGGATCCAAACCGCACAACAGTGAGTTTGGTCTAAAAGCAACCTGAAGACCTGCCGCTGAGGATGAGTGTCAGAAAATGTCGAGCACTACACGCAAGGAGCTGCACTTACAATCAAGACTGAAGGCAAAGGGTTGCTTCGCGGAGGTACAAACCCCGACTTCGCTCAAGTTCATGTGCGTTACTGCGTATTGTCAAAGTGAAGAAGGTGTATGGGTCAGTGTGTGTATATGTGTGGGGAGGGGGCGGCTATTAAACTCGATGTCAGTGAGTCGGGGGCACATTCCTTAGTTGATTTAGTGGGCATTAAGATGAAGAGGAATGTGTCAAAGCTGCGGAGGCTTTAAGTCCACTGTGATGTAAACTGGCTGGGAGGAGCTCGGAGTTTTGACAGGCTGGCCTGACGGATGACTGACACTTGGCTTAATGTGAGAAGGATGGAGAGCAGAGACGAGCGGAGGGAGCCAGATGGAGGCCGAAAAGGAGATTAGGTACCTGCGGGAATAAATATGAAAAGTGTGATTGAGGGTGACAGTTAGTAGCTTCGGGAAAGAAAAAGGAAGATTAACAAAGATGGAACATTTAGAGGAGGTATAGATAAAAAGAAAGGGAACTGAGATCTGGGATAAAAGGGCAAAAATATAGAGGAAAAAAAAGTCCCACAGAAAGGAAGAAAAGAATGAGTCAAATCAGAGAGATTTCAGAAGCTTTTCTTTATTTGTTCAAGATGGTTTCAAAAAAAAAGATACAGAGAGAGAGAATACAGAAAGTTTTTTTTTTTTTTTTACAACATCAGTTGTTGGGTCAGTTGTGCAACTTTGACAGATTACAGCAGATCAAAGGAAAGCAACAGTTTGTATATATTCATATATCGTAACTTTTTTCAGTCAGAAGACAGAACTGATGTCTTAAAAACACCTAAATCAAGCTGCTGTATGGTACAAACTCTAAAAGTGGTGCAAAAGTTTTCATCTAGCAAACAATGAACAAAATCAGCTTAAAAAAAACATCAGGTAAGACGTGTGTGTGTGTTGAAAATGTATTTAGTCCTGAGACAGTGCACGCATATACAGTGTGGGTGTGTGTGTCATGTTAGTGTGTTTATAACTGTGTTTGTCTGCTTTGAGAATATCAAGGTGGGGAAAAAGCAACTTGTCAGTTATTTTGACACAACATACCACATTGTAAAATCTTAGGGGATAAACTTTGGTGATTTCCTACATTTTTCTTATTTTATTGGCAACAATAGATTCACTAACAAGTATTGTTTGTGTATCAAAAGCTTTGGTTAATTCCTCTGTGCCACCGAGCTCCATTATCACTGAAAAACTAAAGGACATCACTGAGCTGCACTGCTGAACTGACGAAACGTTCCTCGTGACAACCACTGTAGTAGGTTTGATGCTTGTATGTGACAAAGTAATGACATGACAACACGCGGATAATAAGACACTTCAGCCTTTGAGCAAGATGAACAAACTAAGGAAAACGAGGATTTGAAGGGATAAAGCGATAAATCATCTGTTCCCAGGAACCACATACCTGGCACTGGAAATGCAACTTCTAAAACCAACGTAGTTATAACATTTAATAACACAAAATTTTGATATGATGAAAAGGCTAAGTAAAAAAATGTTGTGAGCAAATTTTTCCAGAAACACAGTGAAAGTAAGTGCCATCAATAGTGCACGGAGCTGTTGCTAAACAAACTATGGTCTAAATATATTTGTTCACTCATCCATAGATGCTTTGCCATGAGGTAAGTCTGGGTGTGCTTTGTGATTTTGTGACAATCATACCTTGTTTGAATGAATTGTTAAATGAACTTTGTAAGCACTCATTTTCCCATTTTGTTCATGCACTTGTTCAGATGTTGAGTTTTCCAGATGCAGGAAGACCGTTTGTTCGGACTGCGTAGAGGTGTCGAATAAACCAGTGGAGGACAGTGATAAGCTAGTGGACTGGTCTCTTATTACTCTTATGCAGAATGAGAGCTCCAGAGGCAAATGTGCTTCCAAACATGCCTTCAGTCGCCAATAATCAAAAGATCCGACAACTCATCAGGTGACACAGAGGCAGTTTTGCACAGATATGAATACAGGTGTGCCTTGAAATGTTATTTTCCTGTGTTTTGTGTGCTTTGGATGACTAAGGTTTTACATGCGTTTGATACACACACAATACTTTCAGCAGTGTTTGTTTTGGTGTTTCGATAAAAGAAATATACAGAATACCAACAAAGTTAGAATTTAACTCAATTAGGCCTCGAACAGCCTCCGAACTCAATAAAAGGTAAAAGCTCAAGAAGCGTTGAAAATGAATACAACAGCAAGTAATTTAATTTTCTTCATACCTTTAACAGCTACATTTTAGGGAACAGAGATCTGTGCAGTGCATATCTGATTCAGTGTAGAAATGGAAACACGCACCTCCAGAAATAAAAAAGGCAAACCGCAGCCAGCGTGCAACCAAATCTGGTCCGTCTTCCTCCCCCGCCGTACGTAAACATGACTTTACTTCCTTCTTATTTCCTGAAATTATCCGTACCCTCCTGTTAACGAATGAAAGTGCAAACGCCATTTTCTGTCAGTCTTGAAGCATGCATCGTATACAGCCGACACACTGTATGCATGATTCATTTACAATATGAAACAAGATAAATAATCTCTGCCCTCTGTTTGATTTTTCTTTTTTTTTTTCTTTTTTAAAACACCCCTGCATGTTGTTTTTGACATAAAGCTACGTGACAGCACAGAATCAAGTCAAAGTGCACAAGGTCAAAAGAGAGAAACGCGCAAAATGGAAAAAGGCAGGAAATGAGCGCCCCAAATCTGGGCATGTAAAACCCATATCCTTCACCCTGCATCCTCACCCCTTTCCCACCCACTGACCAAAACTCTGATGCTGATGTTGCACACCCCTGCTGGTGGGGCCCAGATGGTGGAGGGGGCACATGTCACACAGTGAGAGAGATAAAGCTGTTGTATCTCTGGATGTTCCTCTTGAGGATTTCGGAGCAAGGACCCAGCACGCGCTCAAAGCGTGGCCGATCCAGCTTCACACACTTGAGGGGACCCCGGGCGACTACGGTGGCGGCCCTGGGACGGTTCAGCAGCAGGGCAATTTCACCTGGATGAGAGAGAATAATCAGCACGTTGCCCCAAATTTTCACCTCAAACATTAAATACAAACAGTATGAGAATGGTAAATGGTAAATGGCCTGTATTTATATAGCGCTTTACTAGTCCCTAAGGACCCCAAAGCGCTTTACATATCCAGTCATCCACCCATTCACACACACATTCACACACTTGGAAATGGGGCAAAAGGCCCTAAATCCGTGCAGTTAAGTGACAAATTAAAAGAAAGTTAGTTAAACATAGAGAGCAGATGCACCAACATTTCATTTACAGCTAACTGCGATGATCTTTAAACCCAAAAAAGGCATGTCTTATTTTTTGCACCTGATATTGAAACGTGATTTTAAAAACCAGCATATTTTGTAAATCACCAGTAAAACAAACCACACCTAACAGCACTATTTGGGGATTGTGCTCGTACACTATTTTACCCTGTTTAGTCAAGCTGACCCTTTAAAATACTAGCGAGTATTGTGTTTTAGTAAAAAGCAACTGCTAATAAGACTTTTTACAACTAAACTAAAAATAAAAATTAAACTTTTGGAAAAAAAACTGAAATGAATTTATAAACTTGGAAAACAAACTAAAACAAAACAGAAATATATCCTGATCCTGTTTGTTAGTTTGGTAAAATCTGATCAAAACTTGGTTCAATTTACTGATTTATTTATCTAGATGACTACAAGACTGTGAGTCAACTGCTTTCAAAGGTTCTGTTTTTCATGTAATAACTGTACTGTAGTTTTCCTAAATTTTGCCTCTGACATATGCCCTCAATTTAATAATAATTAATAGAGACTAAAACTAAGACTGAACTAATAAAAACGAAACTAAAATTAAATATTTTAAAACAATAAAAATACCTACCCCTCAGCGTTCTAGTGGACACACCTATGGTATTAATTTAATAATCCTAGACAACTTCCTTCTTAAGTTATCTTATCCACAAGACTTGCAGTGACCTTGACTTCTGACCTTTAGGTTGAGGTCACTCAATATCAATTTGAAGCTCCTATGTTGCCTTGTTCTCGAGTTATCGCATTCACAAACTTGGGTTTCCACGCTGCATGCCATGCAGGGTGACGACAACGGCCCATCAGCCTTTTACAGCTGAGGGGTAAAAACGAAACCGACACGAGAATTTTCACTCTGGAAACTAACTGAAACTGAATTAAAAGCAAAAAAAAAAAAGACTAATTAAAACTATAATAAGTCTGGTTCAGAATGATTCATCTTCTCATAGCGTGTTTATTTACCATATCTTTAAAAAACTGTTTGTGACATAACTGCTTAAAATTAATTGGAGCACCATAAAAAAAAAAAGCAGTAAGCAATGTGACTTGTGTTTGATCTTCTAGATCACTGTGTTCTGTCTTCATTGATGTTTATTGACTTCTACTAGCAAAATTTGTATTTAAGATATTTATTAAAAAGTGTTATATAAACCAAGTTTAGTCTCACAAACGTATGTGGTGCAAAGAAGCAGCAGGGACACACTTACCAAAATAATCAGAAGGTCCAAGGCGTCCCACCTCCACGTACTCCTCAATGTCAGACCTGCGCTGGAGAACAGAGGCGATTCCCTAACACAGAAAAGAAAAGGAAAAAAGTTTAGAGCTGTAGGAAAAAAGGTTGAGAGGGAGAGGAAGGATTGTGTGTGAAGAAGGGAAAGATGATGGAAGAAGGGGAGGAGGAGGAGGGGTCTGGAGGGGGCTATTTAACGAGGAACTGAAAATCATCAGGAGGATTAAGCCGAAGAGAAATTCCTTTGCTTCATAAGAACACAGGTGCACAGGATTTAGTCCACTTTGCTGTGGGATGGACACCTGTTGTGTGGGACAGCAGAAACAAAACAAAACAAAAAAAAGAAAAAGAAGAAGAAACACACTCTCATGTATCCCAAAATTGCATGCGATACAAAAACTGATTGGTTCTGCATTATTTCCTCCAGAGTGTAATAAATACAAACATCTAAGCCCTTTAGAGGCTGAACTGATTCCTCCTCCATCACATAATCCCCTTTATCAGCATCCAGCCATTAAATGGAAACAACTGCGTTGTCCAAGAGTGAGAGTTCTCCAAAACACAGTCCTTAAATGACCTCAGAAAACCGAAGCGCTTTTGTGTACACAAACAAAAAGAAAGCTCAAATAGCATGTTGCTAATGGTCTGCTTTACATCTGCAAGTGCACACAACCACGCAATGTTAAATAAGAAGATAGAAGAAGACTCAAATGCTCACTCTCACATTCGGAAAATGTAAATTTTCACATATACAGCTGATAGCTGCTGGAGAGACTGACCGCCAACGGCTGGCTGAGTGTTTGTGAGTCATCTAAAAAGTATAAGGGAGGAAATTTGATTTCCATTCACTTTGCCCAACAGATGATAACAGTTTATGCTGTCACATCTTGCAGCTGTTGACAAAATTGTGTGTGTGAGTGAGCATATGTTTGAATATTTATCTTAGCGCATAAACCAGAACGCGCGTGTTCAAAGCTGCGCCTGATGACACGGGCGTATATTCACATTAAAGTGCAGCTGCCACCTTTTGCCGTGCACATGTATTGGGAGATATTTATTTTCTGGACCTTCACATGTACTCACAAGCTGCTGTAATTGGTAGTAGGTAAAAGAAAATCAGTAGAAACTTCCCAGCTTGTCTTGGATCGCTTCATATAACAGACCTGACGGTTCCAACGCTCTCCCTCTCCGTTTCTAATCCTTCTCTGCTCTCTCCTCCTTGTGCCGACTAGGCTAATAATGCTAAATATGAATATAATGAGCCTTAATGAGAACCTCAAAACTGCCAGTTACTCATTGCGGCCACACAAAGGTAATACTGTATTTCAGAGAAAGGGATGTGTGTGTCGATTTAGTGGGTTTGTGCTAGAAATGAGCTGTGGAGGAGTGGAGGGATACTGTCCAAGTAAGTGGAGAACACCGTGAGAGCGCCACTTCCAAGTAATACCTGGCCAAACCGTGGCGTGATGTCGTTTTATCTCTGGAGACAGGTCTTCTAACCAAATTAAAATAAAGCAGGGATATTGTAGGTCATGGAGGCTGAAGGTGATGTTCGTAAGTAGTTGTGTAGCCACCAAAAATTAGGATTATGATCCACGTGGTATAGCGGTCCATTCTCATTCCCAGGGATTAAGAAAGTGTAGTTGTGTCAAAGCCGCTTTGTCTATGAGACACTCACATCTGATTAACAACATTGTAGGATGAGAACTTGTTGGATCAACAGCAAGACTGGTGGTACTTTACGCTCCTCTACTGAAATTATTAAGTATTTGACATGTGCTGCCTACTTTATATCGCTGGCTGCTAAACTAAAACTACATTTTGGGTGTCAGATATTCTTAAAAAGAAAACCTACAACTGATCTGAGACCCTTGTTTTTTTCATTGAAACACTGAGGTTTTATAACATTTTTGCTTTTAGTGCACTCAAGTTTTTTGGAAACAAGCTTACTTCTGCCAAAATTAAAAGATATTCGTCCTTCAAAAAAATGAGAAGCATTATAGGAGCAGCCTTTGATGATGACCCTATCAAACTTGGCCTTACTCCTTACTGCGCAAAGTTATTTACTGCTTACTGTGGAAGTCCCGTCCAAAATAAACAGCAAAAGCAGATCCTGGTTTGAACTTGTACGTCGCTATGGGCAAATGTCTTAACAGTTTAAGCTCTTAATGATATATTTTCTTTCCTGTTGTAGTCGTGCACTTTCACTGAACTTTGAAGTAAAGAATGTGATTCAATCAATCAAAGCTACTGGAAAGTGCTTATGCTTACTTATTTAATTATAATCGCTTCACTGCTAAATCAAATTTATCTGATTAGACATATTGATAAATAAAAGAGTAGCCATTGCGTGGAGGTAAGTATTCCTGTCTGCCGCTCTGAATCCTAATGCTGTGGCAGGCTGCGGCTCATCTCCTCATGGGCATGCAGCATAGGAAAAGCTGGTGCTTCACAGTTTGCCTTTGTGGTTGACTAAAATGCTGCTATGTGACCAAGTTGGCTTTCATGGCACATTAACCTCTATGACATTTAAGCCACATTGTGCACATGTATAAAGATGACGAGGGTTTGTAGACTGCAGCGTATACAGCCACACCATCTACACAAAGAATTGCATTAGCAGAATTAGCTCTATTGGGCTTTTTACATCTTAAAAGGCCCTTTTAGCAAATTTATTTTACATATTTACATTTATGCTGATCACAGTTCTTTTTATATTGTAAAAAAAACCTTTTCAGTTGTTAAACACTTTGTAACACTGCAAGAAAAGTGCTACATAAATAATCACATTTCTTTTTTGTCTGTTGTTATACTCTGCCTAATGAACACTTTTCTCGTCTTAACCCCCCCATCGGTTTTCATCTAACCATTAACCATTTTACAAAAAACAGCAACCACAACTGTCATTACAGAGATAAGAGTATTAAGATAAACTGCTAGTGTTTCAGCCCACAGATATCTGATGTTTTCATCTTTTTGATATTTTTCTTCTCTCCAATGGAGCGTAAGTAGAGTGACTAATAGGTCGCTTGTATCTCCATTGTTAGTCTTGTTTCCACTGCACTTTTTGTCACGTTTTGTTGAAACTTCCATCTCTGCAAATTCGCTCGCAAATTTCGAGTGTTGTGGTTTGAGAGCCCAAAACCGTAAGATGTGAATGGAGATGAGGTCCACAATGAGGTGGACGAGGCACAGACGCGAGTGTTTACAACCAGTGGGTTCCTCTTCTTTCTATTCATGTCCAAACAAAGTGTGTGAGACAGTGCAGCGCTGCCAGTACAGTAGTTCACTGGTGAACAGGCCTCATCCAGTGTGGTCCCGATAACCATCTCACACTGTACCACCCCAAGGGTAGCGCTCTGCTCCACAGATATTTTGTTTTATAAACATCAGAGAGCCTCCCCTACCCGACTCAGGGAGACTGAGACCGGTAACAATAAAAGACAGCAGACGAGGTCAGCCAGAGCGAGAAACACTAACAGAGAATATGAATGAATGAACATGAATACAAACAAGTAGTAGAGAGACAAAGAAAGGATTCGTGTGAGCCACTTTCAGCCCTCAACTCAAATAAGAAGTATCAGATGATTTTTGGACGTATTTTAAGGACCGGTCACAGTTGCATCCATTTCTGTGTATACACACTTTAAACAAACATGCCACACAGAAAGTGCACCAGCTTGTAGTGACAAGTTAAAATGTAGCATCTTGCATGAAAGAAATGACAACAATTTGAACATGCTCGCAGAAAGAGAGGCGCAGCCAGAAATGGAGAAAGGTGATATCCCGACTCTGCCTGTTCATTAGACCACCCAGCATCAGCAGAGTCTGCACCTTCTCATTCAAACGCCAGCACACACGCATAGATCACTTGCTCAACATACGGTAGGACAACAGTATTTCTCACAAGATTTGCATCTAACAGCCTGAGGGGCTCTTATTTGAACATAAAATGACTCAAAATGGTTCAAATCTAATGAGGCCCGTTAATCTTTACCTGTTTGTTTTCACTCAGATCAACCGCACTGATCTTCATTCTATAAAAGCAATATTAAACTCCATTAGCTAAATTGCATTTCAGCAAAAAACAAGCAGGTTACACGCGAGTACCGGGAGATATTCTGCAGACAATCCACAGAGGATATGCCATCTGTGGGACCCACAGGGAACCTGTAAACTCCTGAGAAATTATTCGTTCTGTGTGTGGTCAGAGAACAAATGGGAGACGTCCATTTACACTGATGACTGGAAGATGACTGGAAGAACACATCAGCGGAGAGGATGATACTTTCTTCAAGAGTCATCACCCAGTTTTAAAAAGGTGGGAAGCAGCAGAGACATCTGACTTCAGTAGGCTCAAATCAAATGGACTTGGGTAGGATTGCTTTTCTAGCCTGCGGGTCGTAGTATCCTCGAGCAAGTTACAGAACCCAAAGTTGTCCCTGATGCATCCATCAGAGTGTGAGTGTGTGGAAGTTAGATTAAAAGTGTTTGGGCATAGAAAAAAAACAGCATTTGTATAAATGTGTGTGTGTTTGTGTTTAAGAATGAGGTTTGTGGCAAGAAAGCCCTTTGAGTGCACAGAGCAGAAAAGTGCTACATTATTTTACAATTTATTGACAAAAACAAGACTTCAGCTAGACAGCTGGAAGTCATCTTTTTGGCATAAAGTGACATAATAATTCCTTTCACAAAGGTATGTGATTGGTATATGATCAGAGCTGTTCATCTGTTTGTTATTCAAAAACTAATTTCATGAAAGGTGGTGGAGTGGTGCTTGGGTGAACATCTGCATCGCTTCCATTAAGAATTTAAAAGATGGACACTGGCTTTTCCAGAGGATGTACTCTGAGTGACCTTCTAGATAAAAATGAAACACCAAGAATAAAAATTATATTATGCAACATGTCAACCTTACAATTCCAGTTATCTCATGTAAAGATAAATCTTATGAATTGATTAGATTGCATTGATTCAGGAGTGCACTGAATAGCTTTTCGGGTAGCCTTTTCCCTCTACCCAAGATTGTTTGCTGCTACAGTTTTGCATTACTGCCTGGGAAAGCGCAAGTTATGCTACTAATTATTGGACATTAAAAAAAACCCGTGCATGTGTTATTTCTAGTTAATACTTAGCAGTAGCATACTGTGAAATCTTGAAATATCACAGTGTAAAAGGTGCAAACGACTTGTTAAAGACTGAAAACACTGATTTTGACTTAACTTGACAAACTGTAACTTTTCCCACATCTGTTTATAGTTAAGTGGCAACACATAATGCATCTTAATCTTTAACTGGCCCTTTTTCTCAAAGGCTTGACTGAATGGCATGGAGAAAATAAGAGTCTGCACATTAGGTGAGTAGAGCCCTTAAGAAGAGAGCAAACGGTGGAAAAGGCAGAGAGGGTTGACGTAAGGGAAGGTGAGGCTGAGTCTCTGTGGCCCCCAGAGCTTGTAAAGGCTTGTTTGTACAGTGTGAGAAAAAAAATGTAAACATGTCACTTTTCATTAGGGCCCCATTTCACCCAGAAGGAAGAGAAAGTGATGTCTCCATACCTCCTTTTAGTTAATCTTCCCCATAAGAAGCATGTAATTTGTGATTGTGGGGTTTGTCTTTGGCTTCATCTACCAAAACCACACAAAACAACAAAAGACAGTGAAAACAGACAGAAAAAAGAGGCACGGTGGGCAACTGAGAAAAAAAAGGAAAAAGAGTAACTGACTAAGCAAAGCACAGAGCAAAGAAATAAAAAGAATCACAAGAAGTGCATAGCCAGAGCGCAGGAGGCTGATCTTACTGTAACACGTGCTCGCAAAATCCTCTAACTCTTTACATGTGGTCCTTTTTGAATCAACCTCCTCGCAACCCATATGTCCCTGCCCTCTTTGACTCATCCCTCTGTCTGTCTCTCTCGTCTCCCTCCCAGGAGGGCTCCTGACCCTGTGTGAAAGTCAGCAACACACATTCCACCACAGTCCGCCCTGCTCTGGGAAAGTCAGGCTCTGCAGCATGAGAGATGGGGAGCAAGCGGGAGGGAGGGAGGAAAAGAGGGGGTGAGAGCTTAGACACAAAGGGGAAAATAGACAGAAGAAAGGGAAACGGGGTTAAAGAAAGAGACAAGCTGCTGCTGGGGTGATGGGATTAAAGAGAAAGCAGTATTTAGGTTAAAAATATATACATTCTAGAAAGTGTTGGTCCCCCTTCCTCAGTGCTGCGTGTGGCTGCCTGCATGTAAAATGATGAGTCTCACATTGTGACACATTCACATAGACCTAGACAGCTGCCTTCAATGGGCTGCTTGCCTGTAAAAGTGGATTCCTGTATCTCTCTTCCTTTTCCTCTTTCTCCTCCATCTCTCCATCCTGCTATCCCCCCCCCCACATTCCTCTACATATTTTGCTATTTTGTTTTTCCTCTTTGGGATGTACAAAGTCTCAGATTGATGAGTCACACATACATAGTTGTGTCTTTTGCATTTCCTGCACAAATTGGCTTCTGAAAGACTTTAGACTTAGAGCAGCACTGCAATAATAGACAACAAGATAATGTGAGGTGTATGTCAAATATATACAGTGCAGTCTATAAGTACAGGTCTTACATTTCATGCAATTTAGAAAATTCCAGTTTCATTTCTGTGTTTTGTGCAGCATATATGCATTGGATGGGATGAGCTCAAACTGATTGACAGTAGGAGCCTCACACCAAACTAGATTCACAGAATGCAACATAAAAGTGGTTGAGTCTGTTGAAGCCCTCACCAAAATCACCAAGATGCCAATTTTCACAGACCTAATAGTATCACATGACCTCTTTATTTGATAAAATATAGGTTAATATTAGCAATACGTAATTTGTGCGGGTAATTTTTGCATTACAAATTATCGATAATCCTGGCATTGTCGTACAGGACTAAGACCACTGACATTCACTGTCAGTTATTACAAATTTCTGGAGTTTCAGAGGTCATTTACGATGTCAAAGATCTTCAGCTTTAATGTGGAGGAGCTTTTTAGCATTTATTGAAATAGGACAGTGGAGCAAAGACGGAAAAGGCAAGAGAGAGCAGTAGATTTGAACATGTAACAGCCTCACAGCGTATGGGTCACCTGCACCACTTCATGAGCTATATCAGTACCCGGGGGCTGCCATTTCTTTAAACAAGACATAAAACAGTGTTTTTCCTACAAGTGAAAAGTATGAGCATCTGTGAGGAAAGTTCATAGGAAATATAACATGCCTTTAGTGATGCTACAACCTTATTTGGTCTAATATGACAAGTAGTTCAAGTAGTTTTAGGATTTTGAACAATGTCCTGTAAACATCGCTTGTTACAAAAGTTACATTTTGTTGCTATACTTGGAGGAAATCTAAACAGCTCTAATATCACTAGTATATTAATTTTATGCACATTTTTTGACAGCCTCCCTGGTTAAGCTCAGCCAGAGCTGTAGTTCATCTGTCTTCAGGTTTTCTTTGTATAAATTAAAGTTTGAAATTCAGCAAGTGAGACTGATGTAAGCGTGACCATGAGTGCTACACTTTGCTAACCCATCATAGATGTGAACATCCTTACTCCTTCGGAGCATTAACGGCTGACGTGCAAATTTACTGAGCTGGATAAAAGCCAAAAGAACATTTCAAATAACTGGAAAATGAATGTCTATTATATATGTTAAGAGGGGCATAGTGAGGAGCATAAAAATGCAGATAAAAAAGAAGGATGGAGAAGAGTGTTGTACTGCAGGGGCGCAGGTGAAGGGAGAGAATCTGTGTGAGCCAAAATAGGGATATAGGGTGATACATCATTAACCAACCCTGATAAAGAAGTACCTCTAGCTTAGCCATTTCAATCCACTGTAACCAGTGTACTGCTCCTATTATCGATGGACATGAAACGAGTAAGTTAGGTAAACTTAGTAGGTGACAGAAAGAATGACACTCTGAAGAAGAGGGACTAATCCGCGAGCAGGTCTGAAAATAAGGACGCAACAACAGCAGATTGTGCCCCAACCCCCTTTAGATGCCCCTTTTGACTCGATGCTGGTGAAAGCCGAATAAGTATGGAGTTAATAAAAAGTGCGTTAGGATGACAGGCAGGGGGCCCTTCATGAAGTCACACCAGGGGCCTCGGTTCCACAAAGCCTCCAGTGTGAGGGAGCCATTCTTTGCACAGGTTCTGTGTGTTTGCAGGCTGGGGCAGGGGAGCACTGGGTACTCTGTCTGCTGGTGGCAATAAACTGGGATCAGTTGCAATGTCAGCAAACAGCCCACCAACGTCTCTGTATGATGACATTTACATCAACCCTAGTGCCCCCCTTGATGACTCTGATGACATGCACACGATTTTAGGCCCCGGTATGTCAACATCTACAGCTTACAGGAAATGTGACAGTAATAGGAAACCATTACATACACTGTAATTCTGGTGATTTTAATGCTTTTTCTAAAGCACTCAATGTGCAAAAAATCAGCTTTATGCTCTGTGTTGTAACTAGGTTAAACTCCATCATCAAACTTGTCTCTTTCACACACAGAGACATGCTTCCAGTGCTTTGTAAAACATCATATTCTTCACAAACTTTACCTCTGTTATGATGAAGAAATCATCACCAGGTTCTCCCTGCACCACTATCTTCTCTCCATCCTCAAACTGAACAGGCTCCAGGGCATCGGCCACAGTCAGGCGCTCCCATTTATCCAAAGATTCTGTGAAAGGACAGCAAATACAGATTACTGAAAAGACGGTCTTATTTACATTGATCAGTAGTAGATGCACATACAATGTGGATTACCGTTTCATGGCCCGGAGATAGAGGCTTTCCTTGTTCAGTAAGCTGGTAGGAACACTAATTACAATCCAGTAATTTAAGAGGAACCGTTGTATCAGCCTCTCTGTCTCCTCCCTAATTTTATGGATCTCAAACACCTTAAAACTGACTCCTAAAACTTTGTTGTACTCACTCTGGATTGTGTTGATTATAGTCCAATCAAGTTCAAGTGGTGCGATCAAGTTCCTTTCCACCACTTCCGTTCTATGGTTGCAAAATATGATTTCATAGCTACAGTCTAACTTCATCAGTGAAATTATCTGAAATATAACCAAATATACTAATAAATATGATTTTGATTTAAGCAGCAATGCTTTAATAACGATTAAAATTATATATTTAAAAAAAATTTTTCACTTTTATATAATTTTAAAGATCAAACAGAAGTAAAGGTCAAGATATGTGAAGGAGTTCTGCTAAAAAAATTGACAGCATCTTTCTAAGTTTGTTCTGAGCGAGTCAGATAGTCTTTACGATTATCCAACCACAGCAACAGTGACGTGGTTAGCCTGAGATATTTCTAGAAACCAAAAACACAGTCATACATCTCACTGGGAAAAATGCTTAAACCAAAGGAGTTTTAGGCAATTCAGATGAAATAATACTTAAAGAAACAGGACCCGCTAGTAAGTAAACATCTCTATTCAGACATTGGTTACTGAATCGGCTAATCCTTTAAAAATGGAGCAGATTATTGTTGCCTTAAAAGCAGCTACACCAACACGTGGAATGTGACTTTGCTGCAGTGAAAGCACTGCTCATCCTTAGCTTTGTCTAGAAGATTCAATGTTTTGATTTGACTCAGACATGAGTTAGAGGTGTAAAACTACAGCACTCTCTCTTTGTCCCTGATGTGCTCAGTAACTGATCCCAGTGTGTCTATTTGTGTGTGTGCACTTAGGATTAGTTAAGGTAAGCCTGCCGGTTTGGAGGTGTCCAGTGTCCCCCGCCAGTGGGGCCGAGGTGTCTGCTGGACCCAGATGGATGTCTTCTTTCTGGCTGCCAGTTAAAGGCAGCAGGTCTTATAGAGGTGAACCCTAACAACTAGCGCGGTAACATGATACACAAATGTGCCGACTAAAGAACCTACATTTCATGCTTCACAGAATTTGCAGCCACTTGGAGCACCATGCTACACACATACACGGTAGACGCACAGGGAATTGCCCGTGGAGATGCTAGGGCCTGTGTGTGTGTGTACGACAAACAACAGGTTGTGTTTTTTACTCCCTTCACTCCATGACATCAAGGGCTTGTACCCAATTTCGTGGCTATCTCAAAAATCAAAGACAAACAAAAACACCCCCGCCTCCTACTCCTCCTCCAATTCAAAGGGGCCGAGCAAAGCGAATGAGGAGAGGAAAAGCAGGAGGGTGCTGTCTGAATACAGGCCTCGACAAGGCTGTCAAAAAGAGAGCTGTGAAAGAAAAGAGCTGAATGAAAAGAGAGCGGACCTCGCAAAGACATCCTCCTAACACCAGGATTGAGTGTATGTGTTTACTCAGCCAGCTAATAACTCTGTACAGAGGGCATGGCCTTGCTTTATACACCACATACACGATCAAGTGGAAAGGGATGAGATGTCAGCTCCAATTGCAACTCGTTTTCAAACTCTGAATGAATCTCATTCGCCATCCCTGAAAACCAAATTGCCTGTGCAGGCTGGTTATCCAAATTCCTGCCGCAAAGAGGGGCTTATCTCAACTCCCCATTCCTTAATTGTCCACATGGAGACATTGCACACATTGCATAGTGTGACTGGCTTTAGCATGAACAGTGTGAGAAGATTAGGACTGTACACACAGACCTCACTCAGCTATGGGCCTTTTGTGACAGCGTGCGCCTGTGTTTATGTGGGTTAATCTACAGTATATAAGTAACTTTCTGCACTCTCAACTCTTTGACCTGTGTAAAATGAATGCATAAATATGTATAAACACACTCATATCCTTCGGCATAATCACAAACTGATTAACAAAGTGTAAAAGAATTCATTATAGTCACCAGTGACAACATGCTGCACGTCTTGTCTATATTATATTTAACACACAGACTTACCAAGAATGGAGACTTTGCTCAAGAACTCTTCATACATCTTTCTCTTTCTCAGTGTGCTGCCCTGTAACACACACAAAAGCAAACACATTTACCATTTAAGGAAGTTGTTGTAATACTATAATGTAATGCACACCAATGGTCATAAGTTTGATTTTTATCCCAAAACCAAGAGATCACTCTCATTAATCAGAAACTCTTTAAAACTTTTAATTTGTTTTATTTTTTTCACTCCTTTAATAACCAAAGTTAAAAGCACAGCAACTTTGCTTCGACAAAGTTTTTCAACTGTGAAAGATGTATTTCTTTGGGGTGCAAATATTGGAAAGAGCCTGAAAATCTGCACCTTTTTTGCAAAGAGTTAACATAGAGAGCATCCAAAGAGTTGCATGTTTCTCATTCCACAGCCAACCTTTAAAAAAAACCTCCAAATATTACATATGAATACTGCCAAAATATTAAAACATGAATACACTTTTTTTTTTTTAAATCTGTGATGAATAGATGACAGTTCATGGAGTCATGGTTATGCAGGTGTATGTAATGCGTTTCTGATACGTGTATGTCTGTGTGTGTGTGTGTGTGTGTGTGTGTGGCCCACCCCACCCACCAGGCAGGGGACTTTCCCCCATTCTGCCTCTGCCATGAAAATCAGGTGCTTCCTGACAAGTCTAGACCCAGAGGACCCCTTCCCTCGCTGCATTTCTCCTTCACTGCACAGAACCACTCAGAGGGAGTGGGAGCATGAAGAGAGTAAAAGCGAGTGAGGAGAGACGATCTTGTCCGCCCTGCCTTTGCATATGGAAATGATATATTGAGGCTTGGGGTGTCTTTAGTGCATAAGTGCCTGAGACCCGCTGCTGCCTCTAATTTCATATAATTTCACATTTTGTCTTAAAAGGGGAGAAAATGTTCCCAAGTGAGCCAATGTCAAAGTCAGAATCGTAAACAACTTGATTAAAGGAATTCTAGCCTGCGCTGCCTCCCTCCTGGATAAATGATTTGAGTTGTGTGTCTGTGTGCATGTGTGTCGTCAGTGTGTGCAGGCAGAGCGTGCAGTCTGTTTTTAGTTCTGCCACTTATGTTTTGCTGCCGTCTCCGCAGAGATGAAACTTGCTCGTTAAGCAAGCAAATACAAACAGTAACGCATGTACCCTCTACCTCTAACACACACCGCACACACACACACACACTCCAGCTTACACAGAGATGTTAAGTTGGTCTTCAGATTTGAAAGTCTCCCCATAGAGCTAATCAGACAGCCTTGCAAGGCTTAAAGGCTTAACATGTGTACATGAAACTACATTACAATACAGTAGATGTGATTTATACGACTGCAGTAGGAACCGCTGGGTGGGCCAGAGTAACATCGCAGGGTTTCAAAGAGGCTCGCTGCGGTGGAAGGAATGAAAATGATGCGTTTCTAAATTTCTATTTCTAAAATTTCAAGTTGTCATTTATTTTGTTGGTGAACATCTTTTTTTCTCTTTGTCTTCTGTTTTATCTTGTCTACTTGGGAGGGCCTGAGCACATGTTTCATGTATAAAACTCTTCTGCTCCTGTTGGCCCCAGTGTTCATTCCTCCTGTGGCTAAAAGATGAACCAGCCTCTGTGTCTGTTCAGTCTTTGAGGGAGAGTCATCAAAGACTTGAGGTGTGGCGTGAAGCCAGACTAAACCAACTGTACCTTACACCCCATCTCCATCACCTTCATCTCTGTCCAATGTGAAAAACATACACCACCAACCCGCCACGCACACATCCCCTCTCATTTCTCTGTATAATTTCTCCTTGTTTCCTTTCGTCTCATGTTCTGTTTGTTGACAGTTGTCTGTCGGTTTGTTAACGGCTTTGTCTGTAGCTATGTGTGTTTAAATACCAAGATGACACAACAAGGAAGGTATTGTATAAATGGCAGTAACACAATAGAAACAGTGTGGTTATCACGGGGAATGGCATTACACTGTTTACTCAATGTACACCCTGATAAGGAAGCTGGTAGGGTGGGTGGTGTAGTGAGAGGCTCTTTGGCTCTACATGATAAAATCATGGCTGTACTGTAAACAAACTGTGATATAATGACTTGTGCGCGTGTCATTATTTTCCACTGGGCATGGTGTAAGGAGAAATATCTACAAGTAAATTCATCAAAGGCACCTATAAACAATTTCTGCTCATCTTAAAGGTTTTATATGAAATATGTGAAGTATATAAGAAGTAAGAAGAAGCACTTTTTAGAGAACTAAAATAGTAAATTGTAAAAGTTCTGAGATTCAAAGTATCTTTTTTTTAACCAAATAGTTCTTCAAAAATATTAAATTTATTCCTGATTGATCCATTTACCATTTTGTAGGTCTAAGTGACTTGGATGATCAACTGGTTACAAAATTTACATTTCTGGTGGATCACTAACTGGAGAGGAGACTGCACACGATGCAGTTTAAAAATCACATAAATGTGGCTTAATTGGTTTTGAATTTCACTTTGACCCGTTGAAATTAATATTCAGCTTAAGAATCAAATATAGACGGTTATTCAAAAATCTAATGCAGTTAGAGCCACTTAAGTGCAAAAAAGTCAGAAATGGCATAAAAAGCAGGAGCTGAGATTTAGGTGGGTTGCAAAGTGATTTGCAGTGTTCAGTAACTTTTAGCATGCTGTGTGCAGGATAAAGAAGCTAAACATGAGATCTGCCTAACTGAGATTACCTGGTATTCCATGGCCCGCCTGCCCTACCTCTCTACTCGATATCCATGCAACATGCAACTGTTGCTATAATTGTTCAAAATAATGTGTCTTGAAATGGAATGAACTAGTGACTGTAAATGTAAAACCATTTAAATTACACATAATTATTTTTAAGATTTGGAAACACAGCAGACTCGGGACAGGAAAGCAGATGTGAGAACAATGAACCTGATGGCAGTGGCAATGCACCTTATGAGCTTCCAGCTAACTAGCTGCAGACACAGGCGCTCAGCATATTTTTTGCTGGGAAACACACCACACACAAACACATACACATTTACACTCAGAGAGAAAGCTCACTCGTTGGCCTAAGTCCTTGCCAGAATACCACACTTTGTAAAAACAGCTTTACAAATCATTGACAGCAATAATTAACTACAGGTTCACATAATTGAATTCTGTTTCACCCCGTCTCCCCTCCTGCAGCTGCTGCTGGAAGCAACGAAGGAATGAAATGTGTAAGACAAGGAGAATCCTCTCAAAGAAAGGTTACCAGGGCGGACTGTGCCCTTAGTTTAACTATGCGCTTAAGAGGTGACATGAGTGCTGTGTAGGTCAATGCCAACTTTACTCTGAGCTGAAAGGTCCGAAAACAAACCTGCTTCAATCTCTGCTGGTTTTACACTGAACTGAACTTTCAGTTGGCCAAGGCTTAAATGTAAGAGGTAGTTTGAAAAGTTAAATGGGAACTCTCTAATTTATTTGGAATATGGTGTTAGGAACATTTGAGGAAGTGTTTAGCTGGGCACAGACACACACATGGACAATATTTAGTCATTCTAATAACAACCGATCTGTGTGTGTGTGTGTGTGTGTGTGCGCGTGTGTGCGTGTGCACTTATGAGCAAGGATGAGGGCAAGGGCACAGTTCCTTGTGTTTCCAGTTTAAACATTTCGACATTCCTGCTAGATAAGCTCCCGGAGTGGGAAGTGCAAAAGGAGGCATTAATATTGACTTTTTTTTACTCCTCTTCTCACTCCCTCCCCACTTTTGGCTTTCTTCATCTAAGAAGAGATCTAGACGCATTAAAATGGGAGGATACACTCCTCTGTGTGTTAAAGCGTATTTGGAGTATAAAAAAGAAAGCAAATGTTTTAAGTGCTTAAGGAGCCTTAAGTGGTTGACTGGGAGAAAATACTGCAAGCAGAGGACTGTGATTGATGACCGTAGAGAGTCTACTAATGGGATGTAGATATTATTTGTCTACAGTGTCATAGTGTGGATTTATTTTAATGTTTAATATTTTCAAATATACCATAAAATTATGATAGCATATCTTTTCCAATTTATGGGTTAAATATATTTAAATACCTACCTACCTACAAATAACAAGCTCTACAGACCTAGAACCCCTTTGGTTATTTGTCTACTACTGTTAAAATGCCCAAAACGGAGTAATAGCGTTCCTCTTTAATTATATAATACAGAAATTTCCATGGTGCTCAAATGCATACATTTATAGGTAGCCAGTATATCTATTTTAGTAACCAAGAGAGTAACTTTTCTTCACGTAAAGAAGAAGAAACTTTTGGCCCTTAGACAAAAGGGGGTCACCCTATCAGCTCCATATGTTTGATTTGGCAGAGTTTTTGCACTGGCTAGCCGGCCTAACCACAACCCTTAAGGGCTGTGTGATCAAACCAAGTGCCTTTAGCTTGTTAGTCAAATGTGTAAAGCATTACACTACGAAGAACCATAGCAAGCACTTTGTGTCCCAAAACTGTCATACTGTAATTTCACTCACAAGAAAGAAGATATTCAGTTCTCCATCCTGTTTCTTAGCCACTTATCTAACTAGGGGCAGCAGGAGAGCTGGAGCCTATCCCAGCTGATGTAGAGCAAGAGGCAGTGCACAGCCAAGGCAGATCCGACTCCATCACAGGGAAACGCAAAGAAAGACAGACAACCGTACATTCGCACATCTGCACCTACAGCTAATTTATAATCATCAGCAGGTTGGAAGCTTTTCTGAACCTACACCACCACAGTACAGCCACGGAAAAAAATATACAGCTGTACTGCTGTGTGCACAGTGGAAGCAATTTACCCATCAAGTTTTGCAATGTATGGTTGCTACAAACCAGCCTCTTGCATATTGTTACCATGGAGTTTACAGAAATACTGAGAGTCATCATGACGAAGTTCATACCATGAGGATGCGTCGGTAGCTGTCTCTGTCAATGCCCCACAGTTTCAGGTCTGTTTTGGCCTTGACGGTGGCAGCTCTAGGAGTCCCGTAGATGAGGGCCAGCTCTCCAAAACTACCTCCTTCTCCAATACTGGTCACCCACTCACCATTCACATACACCTGCAGACAGAACAAAAGCAAAATTTATAAAGAGGGTCATATATAAGATGGGATGCTTCTGAAGAATACAAACATTTTCTGAGGTAGGAATTTAAAACTTTCTGCTATTTCAGCTACCCATCCAAAGACACTTTATCCAACACTTGGCCCACCATTCCCCCATCCCCCTTCAGTTTCCGGGCTGTTTGATTTTCTCACTAGGCTTGTCCCTAAGTATTTGATCCCCACTAAGCCCTCAGATGAGACCCTCTAAAATGCCCTCTATCCCTACCATCTCTCCATCAATCCCTTTTATTTTCTTTGTCTTGTCTTGTTAGAGTCATCCCTGTGATTTGGAAGTGATGGGAGGTCGGAAAGCTGTGTGGATTTGTTCGGGCTGTGTGTCATCTGAAACACACATTCTCATGATGCTTCATCACTTACATGTGCAGGAACACACATGCACAGCTCTACTGAGATCAACCACTGTAGCTCTACAGACAATGCAACCTCAGTGAGACTCATTCAGGCTGTCTCTAGGGCTGTTACGGTTTCAGCTGTCGACACACTATCCACTATCTTGTTGACTTAATAACACAGAGAGAGGCAGAGGGAAGCAGGGTTTATTCCTCTCTGGTGGTTGTTGTGAATTGCCAGAATTGTTGCAGGCCATTATTCATGCTCCAAGTAGACCACAGGGGACTCATCCTTCACTATACAGTGGCATGGCTTCAAAGAGATGCAGAGTGCTGACTTTGGTTACGTCAAGCCTAGAAGAGCAATTAAATGAACGCTGAGAAAGAGTTACATCAGAGCATACAGGTAGCATACAGGCTTTTTAACGGTCCAGTCCTCAGGTATCTCCTGACCTATGAGTCACTGTTTCATCCTCATGTGGTGTCATAAAGTTTCATGAACACTCTGTTGCAAATCCCAGATAGACAGAGCTGCTTTAATACTTGAACGGGAGCAAGAGTGAAGTTACTTCCAGTCAGGGCTGAGATGACAGAACAGAAAAGTTTTGATTAACATGCTGTATGCTGTCTCTCACAATAAGTGAATTTTGCGAGAGCAAATCGCATGTGCCTGTGAATAATTAATGAACCAATGAATCAAAATTACTGGAAGGGTTAGATGAGTCATGAGTTTGTTTCTTTGTACAAGCCTGCTGCCCATACAGGTAGGTGCAACAAAAAATCTGCATCTCTGTTTGGCATGATGTAATTAATTTCATTGCCAAATCCACTATAAAATAAAATAAGCTTTCCTTTAAAATGACTGTTAAGGTAAGTAATTTCAACAATTACCCAAATAATTGTGATTAAGCAACTATCAATATTTAATTATAGCTACCATTTCTTTGCCCTGATAAGATCATCTTACATTTTGGCATGAAAGCTGTAATTTCTTTAGCGGTGCACCCATATAAATACAGGCCGTAAGTGAGGAGATTTGAGTGCAGACATGGAGGGGTGTTTACAGTAGTGGCAGTGGTTGTCAGCGTTCAGGCAGTTTATGGGATGCTGGCAGATTTACACCCCAGCTTAATGAGAGACATCTCCACACTTTAATAACCTCGGCACTGATCTTGAAGCAGTTTAGCGCCTGGGCTTTGGCTGGGAGGCAGCAGCTGTCTGTAGAGATAGAGGGGTGGATGGCGCGATGGTGATGAGGTGAAGGCGACACAAATGAACACGAGGTTTGGACAGGGGTGAGGTTGAGGGTAGGAGTGCAGGGTGACAGGGTCCTGGCTTTGGGAGCGTGTGGTGTCAGTCCAGAGGAGACGACCTCCGGCAGAACAAAATAAAATGCACAGACTGAGCAGATGCAGATGTGGACTTAGATCAGATCAGAATTAAGAAATTTTGAGAAGAGGGAACTTTATAAGATTAAACAAGCAAACTTTGTCTTGATTGTTGTAGACAGATTTTTGAGTTTTTCCAGATATTACCATCTATCTTTGTATCTAACGTGAATATAATCTTGAACTACATAAACAACCATGGATCCTTACTCTTACACAGGACTCTAAAAAGAACCCCACAACTTATCAAATGATATTTGACAATTCACTTTCTGAGAGTTCATTGCTACACCATCTTTCTATCAAGGCACCATCTCACTACTCCTACACTTACTTCTTCCTGCTCAGGTGGGTCAAACTTCAGCCAAGCTTGCCAACCTGCTTCTCTCCTCTTGCCCACTGTCTCTGTGCTCACTGTTGTAAGCTGATAAGGTCACTTCCTGTTTAACTAGCTTCTGTTTTATCTCCCTCCATTTAACTCTATCGCTCTGTGTCAGGCTTGCTAAGACAAAAGATCTCTCAGTTTGTGTGCCTCTCACAGCCAGTTCAAATCTATAGCAGTGCACAGATTGTCATCAGAGTGGAAGAGACCTTTGAAGAGAACAAAACATAGGGGCAATCCTACAACCTGCCCATTGTTAGAAGGAAATTTTATCTCTATGTGAGTGAAGGCGGCTGGGTTTTTCTACTGAGTCACAATCCTTCTTATAGACTACACATGAGACAGTAAATAAAACCATACTGGAATCCCCTTTAATTTAAATATTTTGCTTTGACTCATTCAAAGTACAAGTAAGAGTGTACTCTAAATGTGCTCTGACCCACTTACGTCCACTTCGCCTTGGTCAATCACATAGAAGTTGTCTCCTTCATCACCTAGAGGGGAGAGAGGAGGAGAAACACAGGTGAGCACAGATAAGACATCAATACCTGCTAGCTTTAAACCATTTAGAAAGCTTCCTTTACTTCCTTTTTTTCCTCTTTTACTTTCACCTCCTGTTTATTTCTCAAATGTGGACTTTTTAACCAGTAAAAGGTGCCCCTATAATGTTTTCTTGTAAACAAATATAGTTATGTTCTTCACAGAATGTATCCTTGAGGCCAAACAAACACATTGCTTCATTTAAAAAAAAGATAAGCCTCTTAAAACTGCTTACTAGCATGCAATCTTCTCTCCATCTCTATCATCATTATCGTCCCCTGCAATTAAGTGTGACACTTTGCTTGTGAGCGTCCTTGTGCATGAACACAAATAAAGAAAAAGAGAGCATATTCATAAAAAAGTAGTGTTCAAAGAGGTTTAAAAACTCCATCAAGAACCTTTAAACTAAAATTGAAGCATTATGGGATTAAAGTATTTTTGAAGCCAATTCACATGAACTGGGGCACAAAATAAATTGAGAAACTTTGGGGATTTGTGAATCCTGGAATGTCTCTGTTTGGTTCTGGGCCCTCTCTGAAAAGCCAAAGAAACAACAAAAAAAAGAAACTGTTGGGTTTCTTGTCTGGATGTTATTTTTGTTCAGATCTTCATAAATTACCTACTTCAAGCTTCAGGGCACACCCAGCGTCAAAAGTGCTACTGCCTTCTCCAGAACGCATATTTCACTGGGCCTGCCAATATATTTGTGATATAAGGCTCTCACAAGCAGGAGGGTGCAATTGCAGCAGTGTTCATTACTGGTTCTTGGGTGGCTTAATAATGCAAGCTCTGAAACCGAAGTGTCTGAGCATGCATAGCTAGATCCTTCTGAAGTGTAAAGAACAGAGATCCATAGTATAGCAACCAACCACAGGCAGCAGCTTAATTTATTTAGTTCCTTATATTAAAGAATACTGTTTGTTATATTTACAAAGCTTGGAACTAAATGTGCTGTCTGGTCTGATGTTGTGTCACTGACATAAGTGTGGTGGGATTTCAAAGCGAACAATAACCCTCGAAGCGAGTCATGGGATCCGGATGGTTAATGTCCGTTAAAAGCATCTAGTCTGGAGATAAGGCTAAAAAATGGCAAGTGTTCCTTTAATTATGCTATCCATTACATAGGGTTTAGGGGAAATTATTAAAGAGGACTGACAGCCACAAACATGAGCAGCGCAAATCTCTCCCCGCAACTCCAAACTGCAAATGCAAATCCATTCAGAGGTACATACAGGTAATGATGCATGAGTCCTGATGACACAAGTATGCATTTGTGTGCATTTAGCAGATACAAAGTGAGGTTGTATGTGTGTGTGATTGTGTTTCTGTGTGCATGTTCACCTAAAGAGTTGAAAGGCTTAGAGCACCCCGTGAGTAAAGTTCACAGGAGTTCACACGGCTAATTAATACTGAGTGGAGGGGGCTCGTTAATCATACAGCTCTATTTGTCACACAAAACGCTCCTTGTCTATCTGAAGGTCTGTCCCAGTGGAAACCTCAGACACACACATACACATACATACACCTACTTACAACCTGCTGCAACCTGGCCCTTGGCTATCTCCCTCTGTCTGTCTCTGTCTCTGTCTTTCATCTCATCTATCGGTCTTTCAGTTCCCTCTCACTGTGTCTTTCTTTTCTCCTGCTCTTCCTGTCTTTTATCACTTTGGTGCCCAATCCTTTGTTTTGCATCATTTCCAATCCCTCTGTGAGTGCAAGCAAATATTTGACCATAATGCACACACACAGAGACACACTCACACACACACACACACACACACAGGCTTTGTTTCAATACAAGCTATTTTAGGTGTTATGCTGTGACTCGAAAAGGACAACGCTGGTTGCATCCTCAGTCTCTCAGGTGCTTTGTAAACACAATGTCAGCATTAAAGTAAACATGTCCATCATCAAGTTAATTTCATCTTCGAATATTTTTTTTACTCATATAAAATTAGTAGGGCACCAAGGGCAATACTGCTATTCTGCATTTTTAAAGAAAGTGATCTGGATTTGATTCAAATGTTAATGCCATCTTTCTTTGATCGACTTCTACTTTTATGCCAAGTTTCATTATAGTCTTTGAATAATCTTGCTGACAAACAGAACAAAAATCAGCGCTGAAAACATCTTATTACTATTAATTAAAACAGTTTATGTCAGGAACAGCGGATGAACTTCTCTATAAGCAATATATTACAATGAAAATAGCTCTATGCTACATTTTGCATGTTATAATACAGTAAATCACCTCCTGTTTAAATCCCACTCAAACCTTACAGTCAATAACTCCCAGTTGTGTCTAAACAGTGTGTGAGTGGTCAGTGGCATGGTTGGTTTCTTGATGCTGTACAGTAGTCCAGACGTTAGCAATGACATCAGCACTGCATATAGTGTATACCACACTCTATAGTGTATATAACAATGGACTGTCTGGGATTGGGACTAGGGCCCCCAGAAAAGTTAGCTAGACTTATTATCACCAAATTAGGGCTGATATACTCCTGGGTGTTGTCTTAAGAGAAGGTGGGAGAGACTGAGGGAGTGTTTGTCTAGCACTGACAGTTTTCCTGCACCTAGTGTCTGTATGAGTGTGTGTTTGTAAGGCATGCTCCACACATGTAAACTATGTTTTTCTGAGCAGGTGTGAACATAATATTATCTAGAACTGGGAATTTGTGTGAGAGAATGTTTGTTTTCAGTGTTTTAAATATGTGATTAAATGTGTCCACTTCTGTGTTTGATAGGAGCTTGTGTGGAGGAGCGCTGGAAAAATACAGTCTGGACTTGCTGATCTGTGTTCTGTCAAAGTCCAGGGATGCCTAGACTAAAGGTTTTGATGACTGCAGTTAGGCAGACGAGAAAGACCTGGCATCTGGTGCAGACTGAGGGGAATGTTTGAGGGAGGCAATGAGAGGAAACAGGAAGGAATGTAGGAGTGGCAGAGAAAAAAAACAGGGGTTGCAGTACAATTGTGGTATTCTTTAAGATAAAGTCATCGAAGGTAATCAGTGAGAATAGCACTTTAATTGTTTCCTTTCCATTAAAGTGGCTAAGTCCATCAAGATGATGTAACTCATGACCATGGCAGAGCATTCCAGTGTGTCAAAGATGGCTACAACCACTATGACATCACCAAATGGTTAACCTTGAAGCCTTGAGCTGAGCGTTTTGGCTGTGCTTTGAAACCAGATATAACAAGCAAGAGTTGAATTTGAGAGTGCAAGGTAACGCCACCCTGAAGCACAGCCTGTTCCATTATCATTTCTACTGTACTTGGTACCAGAATGAATGAAATGAACATCATTCAGTAAGACTAAGAAATACATTAGATAAGTGTTTACTAAGGTCAAAGGTCAAGTGAGCAATAAGGGTGTTCTTTCCATGGACTTCTATACAAGTGTTCTATACCACTGCTGCCCATTAGAAAGAATGTAGGCTTGAGGCACCTTTGCACTGGCTTCTCTTTTCAGACCTTTTAAAGCTTGTGAATAGATACACATGGCCATAATACACATTTATGAGGTATACCTGTCCATCTGCTCAGGGTTGTCTAAAGCTGCAGATCTACTGGAATTTTCCAGCTGAACCATCTATGATGTGTGAGCAGCAGTTGAAAATGCCTTGCTGATGCCAGAGATTAGAGGAGAATTGCTAGACTGCTTCAAGGTTATGGGAAGGCAATGGTAACTCAAATAACCGCTCATTACAACAAAAGTATGCAGAAGAGCATCTATGATGGACTACAACAGCAGAGGAAACTGAGGCTACAATTACCACAGGCTCAACAAAAACAGAAGATTATAAAAATGTTACCTGGTCTGATGACTACTGATCTCTGCTGCGACACACAGCAGTAGGGTCAGAATTTAGGGTCAGAACAGTACCACACCTTTCAGATGTGTTGTCATGGGAGATTTTCAACATGGATGACAATCTGCAGCAACTGTGTGATGCCATCATGTCAGTATGTCCCCAAATCTCCGAGGAATGCTTCCAGAACCTTGTTGAGTGGAGCACCTCTGAGTGCAAGTTATGACACTAAAAACCATTTAGGTTTCAAATTGAATCTTTTTGATTAGGATTTAAGGATTGTTTTTGTTCGCCAGAGGAAAATAAACAGTCACATATTCCTGCTATAATTAAGTACGTAAACCAAGTTGGATTTTGCTCAGCAGGCTGACTTTAATCTTCACCTCAACAAATATTCATACAAACCTTGCTGGATAACTGTTTCCCCTGCAATATGGGTGACTGGGAACATGGCATCAAATATGTCACTGGAAGACAAAGAGAAAGGAAAAGAGAGAGAGTTAATAACGCATACCTGCTATTATGTTATATTATCCCACCAGTTTTCTGAATTGTTTGCTGAGTTTCATGCACAAATATACAGTAAACACAAGACTTTTTGTGTAGGACTGGCATTATGGGAAAGACAGTTGCCATCATCACTTTGCAAACTCGATCAACAGGCAGACAAGGCCAAAGAGACAAGCATGGGAACTCTGGGTGACCCCAATACACACTCAAACACACACACACACACACACACACACACACAGAGAGAGAGAGGGAGAAGCTTGCACAAGACACATCAATCTGAATGTGTACACAACTGATTTCTTTGTCCTCATCCATATCCAGCCACACACCCATTATTTCTACTTAGTGCCATCATAAAGAACACATTTATGCCTGTTATAACACAGTTTAGTCCAACAAACCGACCACAGTTTATTTTATCATCAGTCTACAATATTGTACTTTTTTCACTCTCCATTTCTGAAATTGTTCATTGCCATTGTTACTACTCTGTTACTACTGGTGTTTATTTTTGTTAAGTAGAAATACTAAACACATCAGAATATTATCATCACATATAAGAATTAAAACATTTCAGCCCCATCTGCCTCTTTACATTGGACCGGTACTGTGCGCAGGCTTAACAATGACTGTTTTGTTTCAGCCCATGATCAAAGCCCATATCTCAGAGTGTATCTTCCTTTAGAGGCACTGAGAAAACAAACAAAGTGATGGCTGTGTCTAAGCACTTAATTTCTGTTTCAGCCCACCAGGGAAAGCGCCTGTTAGACTGTTGCTAATCAGGCTGTTTAAATGCATGAAGCCGCAAAAGATTAGAGCTCTACTGCTGGGATGTGTCGGGACAAGAGAAAACTAAGTATCCTTCCTCTCCTCCTCTCTGCCTGCCTTACACCTTCGGGGTATATTTATCTATCTAATCAGTTGCATACCACCCCTCTCATAGAGAAATATAGGGAAAAAAGAAAACAATAAAAGAGGGTCAGGCATATCAAAGACATACAAGACCTGCTGAGTGAATGTGGAACAAGTCAGAGCCCATTCTCAGTTATGTTTGTGTGTGTGAGCCTGTGTGTGTGTGTGTGTGTGTGTGTGTGTGTGTGTGTGTGTGTGTGTGTGTGTGTGTGTGTCACTGAACGTGTGCACTTGAGCCAGTCTGTCTGCATCTGAGTGGAACACTGCCTATGAAAACACACAGGTTTGCGCAAAATTATGTGTGGGTGTTGAATAAGTGTGCACTCCTAACAGTGCACAAGACTACGTAGCACTTGGAAATGAAAAGGCTTACACAGCCAAACTTACAGCACACTGCAAACATTAAAAAAATGTTGCTTTGCATAAACTTTGAAAAAAGAAAGTAACGTAGGTCAACAGGTGTTGAGGAGAGATCTGAGGATGTTATTGAGTGGTTTGGAAGTGAATGGACCTGGCTGGTATTTGTTATGTGACACTGAATAAAAAGCAGACTTAAGAAGATGGATTTGGGCCAACTTCACCCACAGGTAGGCTCGGTGCGTTGCAGCTGGCCACTGACTCACGCATACTTGAGGACAAGCAGCAAACACACATTCAAATAACACACTTACTCTTTGAAGTCTGCACGCACAACTAAAGGATGCCACACCCCCATACACCATAATGACACATGCAACCAATCCACTCACAGACACACAGTTGTGTAATTTGCCCATTGATACAACAATGCAACAACATATTTATACAGAGTCCTTTCTGATGAACACTTGCATACTGGCACTGTGACGTGACACGCTCGCTCAAACGCTTTGATGATGATGATTAGTCAGTCAACATCTGCACGAGTGCCCTCAACTCTCTTTGCATCTGTGGCCACCTGTGCTTGGCGTGGACTGTGTTTATTCAGGGAGCTTTTGAGCAGTTGGTTTGAGGTTATGTGCAATTTATATTGTGTGGCTTATGAAAATAATTACTTTGGAAAATGCCAGGTTTAACAGTGTAGACCAATTTAGAGGCATTAAGTGAGAAAACATTGAGAAAACCAGGAGAAAGTGCTGGAAGTACTCAAAACTCAGATCTTTTTAAGTTTTGATAAAACTAGGCACATAAAGTAGACATAAGTGGCATCATGGTTACATTCAGCTGTGGTGGTGGTGATGCGTTGTTGATCACACGGGGCACTGCTAAGGAGGATGGGCAAGACTGGCCCACACTGCCACAGCAAGAGGATCAAAGGCAGTAAACTTGAGTTTACCTAATTACACTTGACCGCCTCTCTCCATCCACTCAGTACATACATCAGTGAGCACAACAAAGATGCATATGGAGGTAATTACTTCCCCTTGTCTCTACCCGTCTCTCTTTCCCTTTCTTCGTCCATGTCGGTTCCTGCTCGGTTTTTCTCCCACCTCAGTTACCCCTTTCTTCCTTGTAATTCTCTTGCTGCCCCACCCATTTCCCCATCTCTCGGTCTATCACCCCCTCTCTGCGTGTCTCAAATGAAGTGATTAATCTTGTCCTTTCCGCTACCTGTAGCCCCTCTGACCTTATGAAAAGGCAGAGCAACCCCACTAACAATGAGTGTGCTGTTCTGACAGAGACAGATAGAAGGAGAAAGAAGCAGAAAGAGACCCTGCAGACTGTGACGGGCCTAGGAAACTCACCTCCACCCAATGGAGGGAGACAAAGCTTCTGTCATGGTTGAGCTATGTGGAGATTCTTCCTTAAAACACACACACACATGGATAATCATTCACTCGTCCATGTGTACAGTGTTAAAACAGACCAAAGATTTCATTCATGTAAAAACCCAGATGTTAATTACGCTGGTAACACTGTCACATTAGTTTGATCTCATCTGAATTTTTACCATATGTCCAAACACACACACAAATCATGTGCAGCTGACATCACATGGACGGCACATTGCCCATATGTGTCTGTTTGTAGTGCCAGAAGCAGGTGGAGATGACACCTGTGGAATAATGTGAGCATAAAAATAAAGCAGCAGTTCAAGTTCAAAGCAGGGACCGCTAAGGCCAACAGATCAGCACTTTTATCTAACAGCCTGCATTAAGCTGTGTTGCGCTGAATGTGAAAGGTTGCAACATGTACGCACATTGAGCATGTGAATTCATGCATGTACTGTGTACTGTACATGCAGTTGTGACAGGAAAAGGTTTTACGCTCCTTCACCGTCAGACATGCCCTCAAAAGTTCAGCAACAGCCTATTATTGTTCTCAAACACCCATAAAAATGTGGTTAGCTTGGAGGGATTCAGTCATTAATAAAATAAAATTAAGCGCTCCTTGTTGTAGCTGGACTGCTTGTTGTTCTTACAGGTTGACAATGACAGACTCCCTCTTCGCTCTCCTCTTCCCTCCTTTTTAATCTCTTCTACAGCCCAAATGTTTATTTGTTCAGCAGCAGACATCTTATCTTTACATTACTACATCAACACACAGCGCTGCCATTATACCATTAACACCAAAGGCCTCTTTAGGGGCACGGCATGCCGCCACGTCTTTGTGTTTCTTAATGGGCCGCAGAATGTTGAGTTACACAAGTCCTTAATGGGGTGCCCATCCAGTATGCTCTTTGTCTGGGTAGGAGAGGTTTTGCAATATCTGAAATAATCAACAACTCCACCACATACGGGAACTTCCCTGCTCCAAGTTGCATCTCAGCTTGGCAGCAATGTGCCACTGGTTTGGCTGTTGCAGCGTTCATGCCGTAAGTGCTTGAAGGATTAATTTCCACTGCCACAGTTGATAGTAATTCAGACTGCTGACTCTGGCAAACCAGAACAATAGTCTTTGTTTTGCGGGTCTAATCATTTCCATTATATAAGCAATGATCTGGAGTCACACCAAATGTACACTGGCAATGAAAGTTAAAAAATGACTTCCTATGGTAAGACATGTTACAGCCACTAAGATGCAAGTGAAAGCAGTGAGATGCACCAGAGACAATGCCAACATCATTATTCAGGTTATATGGCTGTACTGTCTGCAATTTGGCATCCAGAACAAATTTCTTCTTCAGGGACAACAAAGTAAAGTAAAGTAAAGAATGTATGCTGTGTAGATACTAGTCAACAGAAATTAAGCCACTAAGGGGAAGGTTGCTTAGAATAATACACACAACTGCTTTGAGTTGGCAGCTCAGCCAACAGTCAAGATGATGTGTAAAGCAGGATATTCACAAATATGATCATATGCATGTAAAATTTAAGTTTTATAAACACCATAATAAGCTAGAAAACCGCTCTGTGAGGCTGACTAAGCAGTGTGACATTTAATGTTAGGCACAGACAGCCAGCGTTCCTCGCCTTAAAACAAGAGCTCACAACCAGTGAGCTCCATTACCTTTGACACAATTACTTCTTTAAAAAAAGTACAGTTCATCTGTAATTACATCAACATGAAAGCACATTCCCTGACAACAAGCAACAGTATGAGAGAGTGAATGAGAGATAAAAAAAAAAAAAAAAGGAAGAGATGAGGAAGGATTAATCATAAAGCAATGAAGCATTCAAGGAGAATATTTATGACATAAAAGCTCCAAGCACGCTCCCTTATTCATCACGAAGCACCACCAGCAAGTGGAAGAACCCGGTCATGCCAGCTGCTACCAATTTCTTCACACTGGCCTTGAGACTCCTAAGGAAACTGTGTCTTATTTGATCAAAACAAACCACAGATATCCCCTCCAACCAAATCAAAAGTGTAATGAATGGCAGTACAAGAGCAGGCTAAACATACTCAAAGATTTTATACTATTTATAGTATAAACGTTACACTATAAGTAGTATAGTATGTAAGTGTACATTAAATTTAAAGCTATAATACTTAAACATAAAATGATATGCAATGTTGAACATTTCCACTGCAATTTTAACAATTATTTTTCAACATTTTACACCTACTGGGATGATTGGAACTGAGTACACACAGAAGCCTTGCAGCACAGCACAGAGGT